CCTTTGGCACCCTGCCAAAATAACCCCTTCTGGAAAAAGGCTTCGCGATGGAGTATATCCCACCTTCAAGCCTATAAGTGGTCGCTCCACTCTACGACCATATTGAAGGGCGAGATTGGCAGCTTTGCTTACTTCCACTTCCTCTACAGCAACGTGTTTCCTAGCCTGTTGTCTTTTTGGGGAAGTAGGCAAATTGTGCACATATTAGTAGGCTCATAAAGGTGAAAAACACAGTAGGGACTCTCCAAACCAGACCAAATGGTTTGACTTGTTTCACTTGAAGTGTTGGGCTTATCTGTACTAAATCCCCCGTCACCATATTGGACTAGATTAATATTTCACTGCGATAAAGCAAACTCCGGCCACTTTTTTGTTGTAAATGGGAGAAATTATTGCGCGGGTCAATTCTTCATCTCACTATTAGTCTTGCACCCCGTAACTACCGAGAGTTGGCTGAGGTGTCTCCATTCTCGATTCTATCATAGTTTTTAGGATTTCTAGTGGATATTAAATATCTCCTTCGATGGCCTATTAGAGCGTTAATTGGAGAAGGTGGTCTTGTAGGGGGGGGGGGGTACTTGAGAGCTACAGCTAAATGCAAGTCCAACTCTAAGGGAGCTCTGGTAGGCCCAGGATTGATGTTTAATTTTTTAACCGGGTTTCTTTGGGACGACATTGGCGCTCTCAGATAAACGCTTTCCTAACTTCAAAGTTGCTCTGTGATTGAAGGGAAACCAGTATTAGTGACATTCCCCCCCCCCGCCAGCTGTTGACTATTAAAATTAAGTCCAAGAAGCTAAGGTCTATTGGAGAATGGAAATTCCAGAATGATACAGGGGGTAGTCGTCGTCAAATACCACATGTGGCCTCCTTTCCACTGGCGTAAATTTGGAGACCACTATTTGTTGCCTTCTTCTTATCACTGCTATGATCCAGATTCATACCTTCAGTTAATTACAGAAAACGAATAGCGTTGTTATTCACTATTCTACAAATTAAAGTTTAATTTTCTTGACATTCGGCAATATTTCTTTCTTACTTCTAGCTATTTTCGATTGAAGATGAGCCGGAATCTGGAGTAGGAGGTGGAGCCAACGAGAAAAAGAAGCACCTATTTTTGAAAGATAGTACGCTTGTTTGAATCCTCCAACTTTTCGGTTTTTTGGCAGTGAATTAGCTCCTAGATTTGCCTTCATTTTTAGTTCGTACGATGCTCTACGGATTCGGTGACATTGAAAATCCTCTTCCTGAAACAGTCGCTCTGGTGGAAGAGCTAGCAACCCAATACATTTGCGATATGGTGAGTTTTACCTCAATTTGCATTTTAACGTTGGCGCGTCTTTCCTTTCTTAAAATTCGATTGGTTCTTTCGCTCTTTACAGACTCGTCGCTGCATGGAGATTGGTAAAATTGGCAAGATTACCGTGGAGGATATTGCCTATTTGGTGCGCAAAGATGATCGAAAGTTTTCCCGAGCTAAAGAGCTTCTGCTCTTAAGCGAAGAGTTGACAAGGGCTAAGAAAGCCTTTGAGGGCGTTAAGATTAAAGATGCTACATAATAACTTTGTTTGGGACCAGTCTTTGTATTATACATTTGATTACCTAAAATAAATTTCGTCTCTTTTTACTTATGAATTTAATTGATTATAAAATTGAAATCCAAAGGTATTAGGTAGAATCATTTATATGCCAGGTAAGGGGTTAGGGTTAGGGTTAGGGTGCACCCTGGGCAACGTATACTCATACGGCAAAAAAGTCTATTAACCGGCAGTTGACTTCTGACTTCAAACTACCACTACCACTACTTCCACAGTAATCGCCTCACCTTTTTCTAGTTTTGTGTCTGTTTCTTTTACATCTTCGAAACACTCTTCTCTTCCCTCCCCCCCTCTCGACTTTTTTTACTTTGATTTTCCTTCTCCGCTGTAAAGCGTGAAGTCAACTAAAGGCCTAATGATAACTATCAGAAGGCCTCCCATTTGATATAAATACATTTGGACCAATAAAACTATGGTAATATCTATAGTATTTGCAATTTGAACATTCACTGAAACACAAAAAACAAACATATTGTGCAATACCGATGCCAAATTTTTCATTTTTAGGGAAATAATTTATTATTACACATGTCTTGAAATTAACTGTTAAGGACTGTGGGGGTTAATTGTTTCCTGTATAAAAGAAATACTACCTTTTTGAGAAGTATAGTAAACAGGAACATGACAGAAAATCAGACAGTCCACATGCGTAAAGGCCTTATCTAAAAGTCTTTGAAAATATTCAGCCCAAAAGTGAAGTCACATTCAAGAGGAGCTTAAGTTTCCTTCGTCGAAATATATAAGTTACGGCATCTTTAAAATGAGTCTTAACCGATGCAACTTACGAACTATTTTCGAAGAACTCAATGAGACTGTATTTGTGGCACAAGCCTTAAAACAAGTTTCAATGCTCAACGTTCACTTAGCGCTCGCATCTATTGACTCAATCAAGCATTTATTGTATTTCATTAATAGGAATCAATTGGCATCTGCTTTCTATTCAGATAAACACGAAACAATCGGGTATTACTGCTATTGATGCCTGCACACAATTGATCACAAATGAAAGCTGTCATGCCCAACCCACCCCCACCTCCACCCCACCCCCTCCTTTGATTATAGCCGACATAAACGGGATTAAATGAGGCTGATCAATGAAATAGAGGGGAACCTGGACACGATTATTAGAAACTAGTTGGCCAGATTTTCCCGAATTTTATAGCATTTACTTTTAGTTAGTTTGGTAGGGCAAATGGAATAAATTGTCGCAGCACAAACCGTTTTATTCCTTTTCAAAAAGGGCCAGTGGATTGCTTATTAAGTAGTATATTGGTAGGTTGATAATGGGGTTTATAAAATGATTGCCCTGGACAAGGCTGGTCCCAGCTGTCTAAACAATAGAAGCCAAATCAAAATTGACAAAACTGAATTCATAGAAAACATTAGAAAGTTGTTACTTTTTTAAATAACTTTTAGTCTTTCAAACTTTTATAAGCTAATAATTTTGTCCAATAAATTGATTTTCTTTTTATATTTCTCAAGAAACTAGGAAGTAAAAGAAATAAGAATTTACCGTGACGTTTCCCATATTTATTTATCTCTTTTATTTCATCATTGACAAAAGAAATTTGTCTATGCCTGTTCTATGACGTGCCATGTTCCCTTATTTGTGTTACTTAGCTTATGTTTAAAATTACAATAGTACCAAGTTTCAGAGGTTGCTTTGATCTGCCATATTAAGACTGAGACGTCTAGACTGTTACGTTAAAGTAATAAAAATGGAAACATCTTCCTGGTTAATTTTAGATTTCATGAAATTGGAATGTTGCACATACCGTCCAAGCAGTTTTATCGGGAGGGACGTTCATGCGCATGCCTGGGTACTTTTCAAAGTTGAAAGGGGCAAAACGCCACAGACGGTGATTATGGATGGCACGCTGAATTGTCCTACCAGCTGTAGCATCCGTACCAGCAGCTGGAATTTGGACGGGATCCGCCGAGGGATCACCCCCAATGTCCTCGGTTCCACTTGACTCGGCTTCTGATCCAGGGGCTCCAGCAGTGATCGGAATATCCTGATCTCTGCAAACGAGAGAAAGTAATGTTAGGGAACGAAAGAGAACCCAAACTTCAGGATAAAAGCCGAAATGAATGTACCACCATTGCACACAGGTGCATATTTTCCCAGTTGGAAAGTTCTTTCGAAACTCAAGTGAAGCATCAAAGAAAATTATTTATTAATCCCCAAAACGACAGCATTTTCTAGTTTTAT